CACCATATATGCAGAAAAATCCAAAGTGGCACTGTTGCTCAAGTGGTAGAGCACTAGCCTTGGTCTGAAGAGCTGAGGGACAGTGCCCAGGGCCCAGAGTTCAGACCCCAGGACTGACCAAAAAAACCCCAAAAATAAAAAAACCAGAATTGTGGATAATAGCTTTTCCTGTGTAATAAGTGAACCAAGAAGTACTTAAATTACTTGTTTTAAGTTTTATGGTCTACATTTTGGGGTATTCTCAGCTTGTTATTTTGTATTAATACTGTTTAAATAACATATAAGACTTCAATCTTCTGGTTCCTTGGTTGAGGGTTGCTGGTTGGGATTCTGTTACTCCTATGACCAGTATTTCATGTTGTGTCTTTATTACATCTTATATATCTAGTAGGATGGCCAAGGCTCTTCATATGAATGTTTAGGACAGTGAACGACTTGTCAAACTGGTGTCTATATGGTTTTTACTGATATCCCTTTGGCCAAAGCAGATTAAATGGCAAATTGTAAGTCATTGCACCAGGGTGCACTGAGTATTTGGGTACAGGGAAATATGCCATTTGATAAAAATTAGTGAAACATTATAACATAAGAAACAGGTCTGTATACATTTTTTGGGTAAAAAATACTAAATTATAACACACGCTGTCCATGGTGCTTAAACTTGTAAATGAATGAGGTAGAGCATAAATGCTCAATGGAGTCCTAGGATAGCTTTTCAGTAATTAAAAAAATATTTTATATGTCTCTTAAGTGTATTTCACTAATAACTAGTTTTAGTGAAGATGTGATGTGTTCTTTTGGTTTCAATTATTCAATTATTTTTGTGGGAACATTAGTTTTTACCAGTTCTGTATGTATATTAACTAAGAAATGAAATGAGTTTATACTATCTAGTATAGTATACTAATGGACTGTGGATTCCTCTTTAGTAAAGAGTTTAATGGTCTACTTGACACAGTCAAGATTCTTTCCCAAGAAGGCTTTATGCTTATCCAGTTCATGTATAATGGTTTTTTTTTTTTGGGGGGGGGGGTCCAGTCGTGGGGCCTGAACTCTGGGCCTGGGCGCTGTCCCTCAGCTCTTCAGCTCAAGGATAGCGCTCTACCACTTGAGCCACAGCGCCACTTCCGGCTTTTTTCTTTTTGCTTATGTGGTGCTGAGGAATCGAACCCAGGGCCTCATGCATGCAAGGCAAGCCCTCTACCACTGAGCCACCTTCCCAGCCCCATGTATAATGTTTTGAGAAGGAAAATCTGGAGCACAATCACACAGGTTCTTTCCTGACTACCTCACTTGCCTTCTCTTCCAGCCATGGTTTCAGAATCTCCTGTTCATTATCAACAGCAAGAAAGAATGAAAGGATCTGTGGTGAGTTGCTTTTCATTTCTCACTTTGTTTTACATTCCATTTTATGAACGTAAGAGTGTCCAAGATGGAAAAACAGAAAAACAGATTCAGCTTCAGAAAAATGTTTCTAAATCAGTTAAAAATGGCTTGTAGACTTTGCAGATTATGAAATCTTACATTCTAAGTTGAGTGCAGATTGGCTTCAGTTTGTTTAGTTTTTTCTGATGTGAGAAAAAGGAGTCACATTTGTTATGAGATTGAAAGTAGGTGACTTCGCATGGAAGGTGAAGGTTCACTAGCAACTTGTCAGAGATCCCATCCTCATGAGTAACATTAAGCTCTTAATAAAGTTTTACTACAGTTGCTTAAACAGTGTGGTCCCACACAACTTTTGATATTCTGTGGGACTGAGTAGCTATATGTACATAAATTACTCTCCATACATAGTTCTTGGACTGTTTCATGGTCTTTATCTTACTTGATACTTAGGCTATATTTGATGATATAGTCTATGGCCTTCTAGAAATCCCTCTGTTTTATTCTAAGGTGTCTTCACAAGACTCTTTCTAAAATTTTCTCTATTCATTCTGTTTCTTGCTTACTAGGTTTCTTTATTTCATTCTTTCTTTGTATTTGTTTTTCTCTGTCTCTTTCTCAGTTCTTGTACCTCCATATATTTCTCATTTTTTTTCTTCACATGCTTTATCTGGGAACTAGTTTTCTTACTGATCAATTTATCTTTGCTGATGTGGCTCTTATAATTGACATTTCTCTTACCTATTATAGAGGGAAATTGTTGCTACCTGAGGTAGTTCTACAGGATTCTGGAGCCAAAGAAAATCACACAAACACAGACATAAACTGAGACAGAGAGGGTGAAACGGGGCATCCCAAGGCTCACTAGCACTTGGGCCCTGAGTCTCCACAGGCAAGCATATTTGCTTGAATTTACAAAGGGAAAGTTACCATGGATACTTGTAAAAAATAGACCATTGAGCTGGGCACGAGTGGCTCACACTTGTAATTATAGCTACTCAGAAAGCAGAATCATAGATTGTGGTTCAAAGAATGGTTAATGTAGCTACACAGAATGGTAGATTTAAGAAATTGTAATTCTATGGCCTTTTAAACATGGCTTTGGAGACTTTGAGTTTCAACATACAGCTTTTATTATCTAGATGTCAGCTCTATATATTATTATGAATAGTTTATATAGGTGGTCATACAATTTGGGCTGATATTTGCTTCATTTCATATTAGTATTTGTGTTTTCCATTATTGATTTTTACTTCTGATATCTTTGTATTCATTTCTTTCTTTCTATATATTTCATATATGTCTTTTTCAAAGTATATGAGTTTTTTCTTTCTGTTCAAGCCAGACAGTGCCTTCTATATTAACTATATATTACAGTGTTAATGCAGTTTAATTTTGATGGCCACTTTGCTATTTGTTATTTGTTTGTCTCATATGATACTCATTTCCTATTTTGTTTCCATGTAACCTGCATACGTCCTTCCATATACTGTAAAGCACCTCTAGTATAACCTGTAGGCATTCCTCTCTACTCTGTAAATCACCTGTCATACCCATTACAATTTAAATCCTATGTAAATAGCTATTATACTGAATTGTTCATAGGATAATGATGGTTTGTTCAAAGACTGAATTTTTTTTTTATTGTGAAAATACTGTACAGAAGGACTACAATTACATGGGCAAGATAATGAGTACATTTCTTATCAAGCATTGTAGCCTCCTCCTTTGTTTAAAAATATGGAACGCTTCACGAATTTGCGTGTCATCCTTATGCAGGGGCCATGCTAATCTTCTCTGTATCGTTCCAATTTTAGTATATGTGCTGCCGAAGCGAACACCAAAGACTGAATGTTTAATACAGTTGCCATACTTTTTCCAATATTTTGGCTCTATGGTTTACTGCATCTGTGCAACTTATAAATATGCAAGGCCCATATATCCCTTTTAAAGGGCTGTTATGTAGTACCTGTAATCTTGTCTGATAGTTACACTGTGTTCTTCATAAAGAAGTAATTAGAGATTTTTTTTGTACAGAACAAAGGCCATCCTAGGACTGAAGCATAGAGCTTTGGCAGAAGTAAACCATGCACAAAAATTGTATACAGGAACTGCAAGAAAATAAATTTCCTGTCCAGTCTGATTAATTTGTATGGTAGACAAAGGACACTAACATGCTCAGTGTAGTTCACTCTATTATTACCAAGTACTCTAAGAGTTTACAATATTCTCACAGTACCAGCATATGACATCATATAATATAGTTACTTTTCAGTGAGATAATTCCATTAATAACCTAACACTATTGGCCTTTTAGTTTCTTTTTTGGTGGAATTAATTCTTTGAACTCAGGCCCTCATATTTGCCCAGGAAGTACAATATCAGCTGATCCATTTACCTAACCCATGTACTTTATTTTTAATACACTTATGTGTTTGTATATTGAATTTTCATGCTCTATGAATAATGATATGGTGCTATGTTTTCCTTGCACAAATCATTTTCATCATTTCGTCATTTTAGAAAAATTACATAAAATGTATGTTCTATACATTCATACATTCCTTTATCCTTACCTAAACATTTACTGTTGGGTTTTGTTGTTGTTGTTGTTGGTCGATAATGCAGCTTGAACTCTAGGCCTGGGCACTGTCCCTGAGCTCTTCAGCTCAAGGCCAGCGCTCTACCACTTGAGCCACAGCACCACTTTTGGTTTTCTTGTAGTTTATTGGAGTTAAGAGCCTGCCTGGGCTGGTTTTGAACTGCAATCTTCAGATCTCAGCCTCCTCAATCGCTAGGATTACAGGTGTGAGCCACCAGCACATGGCACATTTACTGTTTTATATCTATGTTGACTCCTTTTGGTGTTCTCTTGGGGGAGAATAATTTCTTGTAATACTCTTAAATACAATGTTTTTTTAATGAAGTATCATTTCCTGAAAATGTCTTCAATCTACATTTTAGGAGAGTGCCTCAGCCCAATTGTGAATTGAAGGATATTTTCTTTCTTACAGATATATTTCCATTTTTGGTGTTAGTCAGCCTCTACACCTCTAGTATTTTCAAGAATGGCTAGATTGGAAAAATTGCTGTACAGTCTTCATTTGTAATGGGTTTGATATGGGAGTAAAAAAATCTCTCCTTTTAGTCTCTACAGAACAAATTAGTACTATATTTCATTTGAACTTTAAAAAATTTCTTGTATATTTTTTAGATCACATGCCTCCTTTACTTAACTTTTTTTTTTTTGGATGGTCGTGGGGCTTGAACTCTGGGCCTGCGCACTGTCCCCAGCTCTTCAGCTCAAGGCTAGGGTTCTACCACTTGAGCCACAGTGTCAAATCTTATAAAGGCCAAATGAATAATTAGCTAATTTCTTTAAGCAAACATTTCTACTTTCATTTTTCTTTCTCGCATTGTATAGATAATACATCAAGCCCCAAATACTCTATTTAAGACAAAAACATGCATGTAGAAGAATGAAATTCCAGACTTGATATTCTCATGACTAAAGGCGCACGCGCGCACAGACACGTATATACACACATACATGCACACACATACATACACACATACACATATTTTTACTTGATGGAAATGTGCCATTACAGAAACTGGTGTCATTTGATGATGTGGCTGTGGACTTCAGCTGGGAGGAGTGGCAGGACTTGGATCTTGTTCAGAGGACCCTGTATAGAGATGTAATGCTGGAGACCTACGGCAACCTGGTGTCCTTGGGTGAGCAAAAGTCACATTCATTTGTTAGGTCAAGTGTTTTTAGTAGATATGTGAACATTTATCAAACTTGCATTGGTATTTGAGTAGAAGATTCCAGTCCATGCGAAGTATCATTCCTTTTTCAGGAAAACTTCAACTTGATTATATAACTCGTGAGGCATTTGTATTCTTTTTTCAAGTTGCCAAGTAAGAAGTGAGACAAAAGTTCTAAACTGTGTTCCACTAACACGAGACAGTCTTCCCACTTGAGACGATTTGTTGTAGGTGGATATACAATGTAGAGTAGAATGTATATGACTATTGGAAGCATGATCTGGGAATCACTAGATGAAAGTGGGTATTTATTATTCAAGTGTGGTATTGGGTGCGGTGGTTCATCCCTTTAATCCTAGCTAATCTGGTGGCTAAAATCCAGGATTTCAGTTTGAAGCCAGTAATGGCAGCAAAGACACCACAAGACTTATCTCCAATTAACCACTTAAAAACTGGAAGTGGAGCTGGGACTCAAATTGGTAGAATGCTAGCCTTCAGCAAAAGAGCTGAGTTCAAGCTACATAACTGGCAAAATAAATCCAAAGCTGGGGGCAAGTTAACTATGGATCCAGTGAGGAATGAGAAACAAGATTTAGTAGCAACCTTGTGAATAGGATGTCTGAACTTTTATAGCAGTGATGACCCAGCATGAGCAACAGTTCTTCACTGGTTCTTATTAGCAGGGCCCTGTGTTCCTAAACCTAACTTGATTGTCAAGCTGGAGGAAGGTGCAGAACCATGGATAGGAGAAGCCTCAGACAAGAATTACACAAGTGAGTTAATACACCTTGCATAGTGATGTTGGATTGAGAGCTTGGTTGGTAAGTTCATCTTGCATTGTACTGAGCAATAATGTTCCTACTTCCCCTGAGTCCTGAGTGTGGTAGAGAACTAGGTGATCCTTTGTCTCAAAGACTTGTGAATCCAGAATTCATACGGAAACACTGAACTCTGTGTGGCAGTAGAATTAAAGTTAGCAATTCTCTTTCTCCTTGTAGAAATTACTCTGAAACAAAAAACTAAAATGAGAAATTTAGAATATGAGATTTCATTTTCTTTGAAATTCGGAGTGTGCTGGTATGAGGAAATAAGTAGTATGCCAGGGTTGCTGTCCTTTAATAAGGAAAATAGCTTATCAGTGGTGGGCAGATACTGGGATTCAGAAGCAAAGCATTTAGTCTAAAAAGGCTCATTAAGGGGGCTGGGAAGGTGGCTCAGTGGTAGAGCGCTTGCCTTGCATGCATGAGGCTCTGGATTCGATTCCTCAGCACCACATTAGCAGAAAAAGCTGGAAGTGGCGCTGTGGCTCAAGTAGTAGAATGCTAGCCTTGAGCTGAAGAGCTGAGGGACAGCACTCAGGCCCAAAGTTCAGGCCCCACAACCGACATAAAAATGTACTCACTATCTACAGTATGTAACTGTAACCCCTCTGTACATCATCTTCACAATTAAAACAAACCATTCCTGCTTAGATGAAAGGCAAGGGGATGTATAAAATACTCTTAATGGTCTCTGAGTCTAGTAATTATTCGTATGTCTCACCTAATAGATGAAAAGCAAAGTAGAAAAATACATTTTTCAAGAAAAGAAAAGGAAACAAAGCAGCATTCCCCTATGGTCAAACAAAACAATATTTGAAAAACACAACCACAAAAATACTAAAGGCAGATGGCAAATACTCAGCTTAAAACTCTAGCAGTATGTAGTTGAGTAAATATTTTTCCTGATATAAAAAGAAGAAAAAACTGAAATACAGAAAAACATTTTCCATTGTAAAATATCATTATTACTTTCTTAATTAATGTATTAGGCAGAAGAGTATATTTTTCATAAAGCTATTCCTACTTTGATACATTTTTTGTCAGTCCTGAGGCTTGAACTCAAGGCCTGGGCAGTGTCCTTGAGCTTCTTTTGCTCAATACTAGCACTCTATTGCTTGAGTCACAATGCCACTTCTGGTTTTTTCTGTTTATGTGGTACTGAGGAATCAAACCCAGGGCTTCTTGAATGCTAGGCAAGCACTCTAACACTAAGACATATTCCCAGCCCCATACTTTGGTATTTTAAGTCTCTAACAGATAGGATGGGAGAAAATGTCTTTACCTTTACATTAAGGAATTTTTTTTTTTTTTTTGGGTCCGGTCGTGGGGCCTGAACTCTGGGCCTGGGCATTGTCCCTCAGCTTTTCAGCTCAAGGCTAGCGCTCTACCACTTGAGCCACAGCGCCACTTTCGGCTTTTTTCTTTTTGCTTGTGTGGTGCTGAGGAATCGAACCCAGGGCCTCATGCATGCAAGGCAAGCACTCTACCACTGAGCCTACCTTCCCAGCCCCCTCATTAAGGAATTTTTGGTCTTATGTTTTGGTCTTAAGTTTTTGTCTTTTTTTCCTCTGACTCATTTTAGATGTCCAAGAAATGGAGGATGTGATTAAGAACTTCCAGGAAAGTCCACGTGAATGTCTGTGTGAAGTAGCTGTCAAAAATAGTAACACAGTAGAAGAAAGTATGAGAACTTTTGATTTGAGTGATGAGCAGCAATGTAAGTCTACTCTCCTTGCCCAAGAAATACTTCAGGGCCAGAGGAAAACACCTGAATGCACTGGATGTGGAAAAACCTTCTATTTAAGACATACAGTCACTACACATCAGAAAATGTGCACAAGAGAGAATCCTTGTACATATAATGTATGTAAAAAACCTTTCAGTAGGGAAATTGTCCTTGCAAAACCCCATAGCAAATATGCAGAGAAGTCCAATGATTATATCCAGTGTGAAAAATCTATGTCTCTGAAGTCAGATCTGACTTTCCCACCTCAAACACCCACAGAAGAGAAACCCTATCAATATGAAGGATGTAGGACAAATTCTACCCAGAAGTCAGCTCTCAATCAGTATCAGAGAAGTCACACAGAAGAGAGAACTTATGAATGCGACAAATGTGGAATGTTTTTCAGACTGAAGTCATACCTCACTTCACATCAGAGAAGACACACAGGAGAGAAACCTTATGAATGTAACAGGTGTGGAATGTCTTTCACCTGGACGTCACAACTTACTATCCATCGGAAGACACACACAGGAGAGAAACCTTATGAATGTAACAGGTGTGGAAAGCATTTCACCCGGAAGACACAACTTACTGCCCATCAGAGAACACACACAGGAGAGAAACCTTATGAATGTAACAGGTGTGGAAAGCATTTCACCCGGAAGACACACCTTAATGATCATCAGAGAACACACACAGGAGAGAAACCTTATGAATGTAATGTGTGTGGAAAGTCTTTCACCCGGAAGACACACCTTACTGATCATCAGAGAACACACACAGGAGAAAAACCTTATGAATGTAACATGTGTGGAAAGTCTTTCATCAAGAAGGCAAACCTTACTGTCCATCAGAGAACACACACAGGAGAGAAGCCTTATGAATGTGTCAAGTGTGGAAAGTGTTTCATGAGGAGGGCAGATCTTAATGTCCATCAGCAAAAACACACTGGGGAAAAACTTTATGAATGTAACAGGTGTGGAAAGTCTTTCACCCGGAAGACAGAGCTTAACATCCATCAGAGAATACACACAGGAGAGAAACCTTATGAATGTAACAGGTGTGGAAAGCCCTTTACCCAGAATTCACACCTCATCAAGCATAAGAGAATTCACACTAGTTAGAAATCTTAGGAATGTAAGGAGCCAATGATTGTGCCAAAGGTCTGATAAATTGACAGGTGTTACAGAGGAGTCTACGTGGTTTCAAATGACTGGGTGAGTTTGTGCTCACTTATACAAAGCACCGCATTCAATGAATGAACCGTAATCTTACTGCTTACTCCAAAGCGACATAAATATATATCGCTATCTATTGATCTATTTGCCTGTATTTGAAAGAGTATATCAAATAAATTACCAATTAGTGAGATTGATATTTCAAATCAAGAAAAAAATTTTTTTGGTCAGTCTTGGGGCTTGAACTCTGGGCTTGGGCACTGTCCTTGGGCTCTTCAGCTCAAGGTGAGCGCTCTACCGCTTGAGCCACAGTGCCACTTCTGGGTTTCTAGTGGTTTATTGGAGATAAGAGTCTCACGGACTTTCCTGCCTGGGCTGGCTTTGAACCGTGATCTTCAGATCTCAGCCTCCTGAGTAGCTAGGATTACAGGCGTGAGCCATCAGCGCCCAGCCAAGAAAGCTTTTTATTTTACATGTCACATTTATTCTTAATTCAAACAAATTTTCACAATGAAAATACATTTTAAATGCTGCTCATTGTTTGTCATGATGGCACTCTACATTGGTTACACATTATAATGTGTGGTTGAAGGATTTATTTTTTTGAAACAAAACTGTTCATGGCAAACTCTAGTGGCAGGTGCTCATTGTGAATATTCCATGATGACCTCTCGTCATGATTATGAGATGATACAGTCTTGCCTTCTACTCAGTCAAGAGGTTCACATTTAAATGGTTGGAACATTCTCATGTTCCCGTGTCTAGTCATGAGAAATGGGAAATCTGAATTGCTGTGGAAAGTATGTTCATACAGAGCATCTGAATGCTGTTTTTACACATGACTGTTCAATGTTAATCTATATTCCTCTGCAATTTTTTACTTTTTAAATTTGTTACAAAATTCCATTAAATTACTCAATTTTTATTTTAGATCATGCTATGAAAATATTTTTCCCAATTTCAAGTATTGTAGTTTTTCTAATTTAGTTTTGGTAAACATCTTTTTTTTTTTTTTTTTTTTAATGTTTTTTGGGTCCGGTCGTGGGGCCTGAACTCTGGGCCTGAGTGCTGTCCCTCAGCTCTTCAGCTCAAGGCTAGCGCTCTACCACTTGAGCCACAGCACCACTTCTGGCTTTTTTCTTTTTGCTTATGTGGTGCCGAGGAATTGAACCCAAGGCCTCAGGCATGCAAGGCAAGTGCTCTACCGCTGACCCAACTTCCCAGCCCTGGTAAACATCTTGTAAGAGAACAGATAACAGGGATCACACATACACTGCCTTTATTAGATGAATGAACTTGTGATACTAAATAGAACAATGTCAGAATTTGAGGTGTGGCACGTGGAATAGAGTGCCAAGCTTTACCATAGAAGCCAAAGAAGACTAGAGTGCCATGAATTTAAGGCTAATAACCAGTAAAAGCAAACAAAAGAAAAATGGATATAGTAATAGAATTTCATCAGACAGTAATTATACATCATCTTCTTCCTGTAGATAACCAAATAGAGAATGTTAGACATGGAAATCCAGATACTTAGGTGTGTTTTCAGAGCATAGTACTGAGATTGTACTGCTATCTTAGTCCCTGTTAATCGGGCCCTACTGGGGGAGTGATCAGAGGGAGTAGCGCCATCAGGACAGTAGTAGACACTGGGTGGTGGAGGGAAAACAACTTGGGTGTTCCTCTGAGTGATTGGTGCTGTTAGGGACTGTGGCACTAACTTTATACGGGAGATCAATTGCTGTTCCCCTGTCCTAAAGATGATAAGACTGACTGAGTCCTTCATTGGTGAGGAGGACTTGAGAAGGAAGATACCTGTTCTCAGGTGTCCTGGCCCCCTGGCTTGTTCTTTAACTCAACTCAGTAATCAACAGAAAGTCATCATTCTCTAAACATCAGTTTACTAGGGCACAAGGCCTCCATTAATTAGCTTAAGTGCTCATTGGGGCTGGTCAAAGAAAAATTATTGGCACAAACATCAAGTGGCAATTGGTTCAGGATGTTCTGAGCTCTGGGCAGTCTTGGGGGCCAAGTAGAACACTGGTCATAGATGGGGTCACCTACTTACTGATAATGAAGGCCCCTAGAAGCCTTTGACAACAAGTATATGTTTAGAGAGGATTTTCACAAGTAGTCTCTTCATCATGCAGAAGCTGATCTAATTTTGTTCAGGAATGGAAATGATTTGAACCTTCCCATGGTTCAAGCAATCTAGAGCATCAGTCTTTCCAGGATCCCTTTGTTGCAGAAGGGTTTAAGAAAGGGATTAAGACTTGCTTTTGGCTCTAGATTCCATGACACCATGCAAGGAATCAAGCATTGAGGGAACTCTAACTTCAGCACCTAATGAGACTTTTTTCTCATTACCATCACTCAGGAGTGTTGGGAATCTGAGGAAGTGTTCAAAAATCTCTCAATTCTTGCTCTGCCCTTCCCTGAGAGCATGGTTGAGATCACAGGAAACAGATATTCATATGAGCTGCAAATTATTTAACCACATAAAGGAAGCAAGTGAAGGCTTACCTTTTTTTCCCCAAGGTTAGTCAATTTGATTAACAGGCACAGGTAACATTTCCACAACATCAAACATGGAACCTTGACACAGAATCATCTATACATGGTATAGATTCCACTGTTCTTTTAAATCCAGGGCATCAGGCTGCAACCCTGTGATTTCTGTCACCACTGCCTATGTCTGATCTGTTTCGTGTGAATTCCCCACAGTGAAGACTTTGGCCCATAACCATTCTGTGATGGTCAAGCCCATGCCACACTGGTAAAAATACAAAAGCATATTCTCATTCACACCAATTTGGCCAAAGGATTAAAAAGAAAAATCTTTTTTTTTGGGAGGGGGTCTGGTTGTGGGTCCTGAACTCTGGGCCTGGGCGCTGTCCCTCAGCTCTTCAGCTCAAGGCTAGCACTCTACCACTTGAGCCACAGTGCCACTTCCAGCTTTTTTCTTTTTGCTTATGTGGTGCTGAGGAATCGAACCCAGGGCCTCAGGCATGCAAGGCAAGAGCTCTACCACTGAGCCACCTTCTTAGCTCCAAAAAGAAAAATCTTATATATATCTATGTATATATATATATATATATATAATATATTTTTTATTGTAAAGATACTGTACAGAGGGGTTACAGTTACATGAGTAAGGTAATGAGTACATTTTGTATCAAGTATTGTTACCCCCTGCTTTGTTTTTCCCTGCCAACTCTTCTGGCCCCAACTCTCCTCTCCCCTGGCCCAAAATTGTAAAGCTCATTTTCAACATAGTGTCTTGTATATCTCATTGGTACAATGGGTCAACTTGTATTCTTTCAGCATTTTGTTATTTCCCTTCCCAAATTAGAAAATTGTATATATAAGATGCAGGGCACCAGAATCAAATACATTGAAAAAAATGGGTAATACCATGGGGGAAGAACATACCAAAAAAAAAATCACTTAGTACATTGTAAATGCATTAAGAACAACAGCAACAAAGATAAAACATCTTGTGTCACTATCTTGGGGTTCATTTTGCTTAACATCTCATATGCTCCTATATACTTACCTTTTGACCTTTTCTGCTTGTTCTAGACATATACTAGATATTGCCAATAAGGAAAACCATGGGACCTATGTTTCTTTGGGCCTGGCTTACTTCACTTAATACACATTTTTCCAAGTCTGCCCCTAACAAATGGGGCAATGTCATTCTTTCTGATGGAGGCATAAAATTCCATTGTGTATATGTCCCATATTTTCTTGATCCATTCATCTACTGAGGGGTCTTGCCCCGGACCGGCTCTGTCAGGACGACGGAGGACACCTAGTGGAGGAACTGGAATAGGTGGGGAGATGGCAAACAGACAACTCACACACAAGAGGAGTGGATGCTGAGTGCGATTTAATGCAGAGGATAACAATTTTTTATAGCAAAAGTCTCCACGAGAAAGGGCAAAAGGTTACACAATCTTGCTGTAGGGCTTCATGGGTGGTCACCAGCTGGTCGCCTGATAGGCACTTGTTTCCGGCTTATCTCTAAGAAATACAATGGGTTTCGATGTTTGTCACCAATTAACCATTACCTATTTTTATAGAGGCCTTAACTGTCCCATAAGATCTTTCCTGTTCTCAGGTCTGAAAGCTGGTTTCCCATGCTAAGCAGACTCCACTGGAGTAGGCGTGGCAGGGCCTCTGGGTTGATTCCATATCTTAGCTATGGTAAATAATGCTGCAACAAACATAGTTGTGCTGGTAGCTTTAGGATGGTGTTGTTTGTGATCCCAAAAGTGGGATTGCTGGGTCATAGGGGAGCTCTGTGGAGTCTTTTTTTTTTTTTGGCGGTCATGGGGCTTGAATTCTGGGCCTGGGCGCTGTCCCTCAGCTCTTCAGCTCAAGGCTAGCGCTCTACCACTGGAGTATTGATATTCCTCCAGCACTTTTCTTTCTGCTAAGGATTGTTTTGCTATTTGGAGTCTTTTATTCTATATAAATTTTTCAGTTGCTTCTATTTCATTGAAGAATGAGGTTGGGATATTGATAGGTATCACATTGAATTTGTAGATAGTCTTTGGCAGTATTGCCATTTTCATGATGTTAATCCTCCCAATCCAGGAGCATAGGAGGTTTTTCTACTTCCTTAGTTCTGCTTTAATTTCCTTTTTTGAGGTTTTACAGTTTTCATTATAGAGGCCCTTTACTTCTTTAGTTTACTCCTAGGTATTTTATTTTTTGTGTGGGGCTATTACAAAAGGAGTTGCTTTCCTGATTTCAGCCATGCTCTTCTCATTATTAGCATCCAGAAAAGCCATTGATTTTTGAGGATCAATTTTTTTTTAATTTTTTTATTGTGAAAATACTTTACAGAGGGGTTACAATTACATGGGCAAGATAATAAGTATATTTCTTGAGATTTTTTTTTTTTTTTTTTGGGTCCAGTCATGGGGCCTGAAC